CAGTTAAACACCATTTTTGTGCCCAGCCCACATGCGGTGCTGCAGTACTAATAGAAAACGATTTTGTTTCTGTCTGGGGATCCGAACCATTTAAATGACCCTTTATCTCATAATTACTTGTCAACCAGATCCGTAACCAAAATGAACCATATATACCAAAAAGATAAACCAGCTAGCAAGAGTGGCTGGTTTAAAAAGGGTTAACAGAGGATCGGGACAAGTATTCCAATTACAAAAAGAGTTTATTAAATAAAATATCAGTTTTGGACATAAATATCATATCAATAACTGGTTTAAAAAAAAATAAAAATAAGCATGACATACAATTATAAATCTTCAGGTATGCAGATCTGTTTGTATAATGTGCTCTCATTCATATATGCTAATCTTAACTCAATAAGCTCTGACCAGAGTCCTGAAGCTGTTGGAGCTTTTGGTGTCATAAAGCCTTCAGTCGGTCTATTTCTTCCATGTTTGCCAGATCTCACTAATTAATCTCAGCTGTGCACAGGCCTTTTTTTAAATGTAAGCTGACTGTTGGTTGGGGCTCTCTTTCTCGTTTCTATGAGAGCCTGCTGCTTGTTGAAAAGGCTGACCGCTGACAGAGCACCAAAAATGTACCAGAGCTGCCTGTTTGTTTTGCGGAACCCAATAGAGGGGCAACCTGCTAGTCAGGAATAAACTTGAGTTTAGTAAAGCTGGCCATACACCTATAGATTATGTGCAGATTTCCTATGGTCAGATGGAAAAAGTGCAACCGATTTCTCCATTTACGCTAAACTGTGTGGATGGAGGAGCCAAGCTTCAGTATCTTGCTAGTGAGCCCCATTGGCTCTCAAAATACCTGAACAATCTGATTGGATGCAGGCATTGTTCAGGTTCAGGATACTGAAGTGGGAGATTCCACACAGTTGAATGAGTCAAAACAAATAGATCAGCACACTGCTGTTCAGTGGTCGCGTTCAAAGAACGTGATCAACGGTGGTCGGTGTGCAAAGCTCCTTCAGACAGGGAGAGGAACCCCGTAAAACACAGAAATAAACAAACAGGGCTAAGGAGCGCTACTACCTTTTAGGGGTGCAAGTTGCTTTCATGCAATATGTTCTATGTAAAGAAAATCGGGGTAACTCACAGTTAGGGTAGTGGCGGAAATATCTGAAGTTCCCCTGTGCAGTAGCGTCTGATGTCTTGTGTCCTGGTCTTAGTGATCGAGTGTGCGGGATGGTGGGCTGCAGGTCTCGAGCCCAAGTCAGGTTTTTAATCTGCACACGTACTCAGCTGGCCAGGTTGAGACGCGGCGGTTGGAGGACGAAGAAGAGCCGCTAACTGCTAAGGGTTACTGATTGTCATGTAACCCCACTGTGTGATGGGACGGAATGCCGGGGGTGATGGAAGTGCTGCGGGACTGATGTGAGCTGTGGGGGAAGTAACAGCACTAATAGGATCAGCGGCTATGCGTTTCAAGGTGTCCCTCTTTATCAAGCCTCAGTGTAATAGCATCCGCAGGAACTCGGGGGGCTTTTAAATTTGACAAGGGGGGCGGAGTGTTGGATTGTTCTGCCCAATGATAGGCTGGCCGACAACTTGTGGGTGGAGCTTGAAGTTGTATAAGACCTCCCAGGGGACAGACTTTTCGGTTGGGGCCGTGGTGTATTGTACAAGTCTTCTGAAAGGATCAAATACAAATGTCAATTTGTGACTGTCAGTGGATGTTTTTACATATGAGGGGACCTATTCACATATACTGTACTGTTGGTTAGTCTTAGAGTCAGGAGGGGTGGGAAACCCCAGAAAAACATTACCACGAGAGCTGAATGATTTAATGGTAGAAACTAGTGAATAAAACAATGTTTTTAATATGTAAATATATAGAATAAAATCATGATGATCAATAATAATAATATTGGTCTGGTGAAGGGTAAAAAATGAACCACTAAAAAAGAGTTATCCTGAGAGCTGGTTAATTAAGATGTGATAGTAATGTGAACACTGGTATGAAAAGTTAAAAAAAAGCGTAGGGAATCTGTTGCACTTTTTCCATCTGAACATAGAAAATCTGCAGATTATCTGCAATAATTAATCTAGAAGATCCTTGGTTCTCAACTGGTGGGTCGCCACATGCCTTCCACTTTTCTAGGCTCCTCAGCCTCCCCCTAGAGCAGCACTGTTAGTTCTCGAGCCAAGCAGCCATTCAAAATTTGCTGCCCGGTGCCGAGTGTCAGCTTGAGGTGGGGTGGAGTTTTGGCCACGGGGGAGCTCCATCCATACAGCTCTCTCACGTGTCCTGTAGAGGTGCCCAGACCGGAGTCACATCACATTCTGGCTCCCGGCACCTCCTACAGGGCACACAAGGGAGCTGTACAAGCAATGCACATATGGATGGAGCTCAATTACAGCACAGCAACTCACACTGGACCCCAGGCTGAGGATCCACTCCAGTTCTCGTAAGGTAGGGAGACTGGGTGGACCTTAAAAAAAATAAAATGTTTTTTTGGTTTTTTTTGGAGTGTGTATCACTCTCCAGTTCAGCCTGTAACACACTGTCTCTTGCTCTACGTTCCAGAACGATAGCACGCCGAGTGAGTGGCTCAGCTGTGTTTGAGGAGGAGTCGGCCGTGACGTCATGGACGGACGGCACGCCTCAAACACGGAGCTCTGATCCGAGTAGGTCTGTGACAGGAGGAAGAATGAAGAGGCACACACTGCAAGATGCTTGAAGTCCAGTGTGAAGTTTCCACAGTCTGTGTTGATTTGGGGAGCCATGTCATCTGCTGGTGTTGGTCCACTGCGCTTCATTAAGTCCAGGGTCAACGCAGCCGTGTACTAGGAGATTTAGGAGCACTTAATGCTTCCTTCCGCAGACGAGCTCTATGGGGATGCTGACTTCATTTTCCAGCAAGACTTGGCACCTGCCCACACTGCCAAAAGCACCAAAACCTGGTTCAATGACCGTGGGATTACTGTGCTTGATTGGCCAGCAAACTCGCCTGACCTGAACCCCATAGAGAATCTACGGGGCATTGCCAAGAGAAAGATGAAAGACATGAGACCGAACAATGCAGAAGAGCTGAAGGCCGCTATTGAAGCATTCTGGTCTTCCATAACACCTCAGCAGTGCCACAGGCTGATAGCTTCCATGCCACGCCGCATTGAGGCAGTAATTGCTGCAAAAGGGGCCCAAACCAAGTACTGAGTACATATGCATGCTTATACTTTTCAGAGGTCCGATATTGTTCTATGTACAATCCTTGTTTTATTGATTGCATGTAATATTCTAATTTTCTGAGATTGTGGATTTGGGGTTTTCATGAGCTGTAAGCCATAATCATCACAATTATGACAAATCACGGCTTGAATTATCTTGCTTTGCATGTAATGAGTCTATCTCATATATTAGTTTCACCTTTTTAAGTTGCATTAGTGAAATAAATGAACTTTTGCACGATATTCTAATTATTCGAGTTTCACCTGTATGTGTGTGAGATTGTGTCTGTGGTTGTTCGTGTGTCAGTGTTTTTGAGGGGCCATTCCCACTAGTACAGTGCATTAATCAAACAGTCCTGTGCCATTAGCACACTGTACCACACAATCACATCTACTATGCTTTCTGGTGCGTTGCGATTAATTTAAATGGCACCTCTAACACACCTCCCGCCAACAGTTCAATCGCCTGCACCAGAACGCGCGGTAACAGCAAAGCATTGCTTTACATTTTTAAAGTCTGTATAATAATAGTCATTTTTGCAAAAAACATTTAGTCAATATGTTTCTGAACAGCTGCTTCCAAGTCTCTCAGCTTCCTTGAACTTCCTGTCCAGTACGAGATCACAGGAGATAGGAGCAGACTCCATCAACTGTTCATCTAGCTTGTAGAAGAGAGGAGGGAGGATTGGGGGCCAGGGGGGGAAGCTTAGATTTGCTGTGTCTGTGGAGAAGCACACAGCTTACTAGCACACACAAGCGTGACTGCATAGCACTCTGCTTAAGAAAGGAGTCTAACAGGATATCAGGGCCAGTACTCAGGAGAGCAGCTGATTCTGCAGGAAACTAAAACTTTGAAACATCAAGGAGCAGCAATCATTGTAAGTGATGTAATCAGCATTTGAAATAGCTTAAAACCTTTTGACTTTAATATCACTTTAATGAGGTAATAGGAAAGCAGTTTTCAAAGGGTGGCATTGCCTTCAAGCAGGCAGCATTTTTATTGAGAAGAGACATGCTAGGTTTCTTCTGCAATAAAACAAACCTACCTGCCTGTTCCCAAATCTTCTTTAGAATGTACGAGTTGGTCATGTGCAGCTCCGTGTACATTTGACACACCTTGGTGCCAGAATGCGCAGGAGTTGAGTCATTCCGGTTCTGGCCAATCAAGATGGCCGAAGATCCTGTACCCAGAAGAAGAAAAGGGTGAAGATGTCGGCAGCAGTGAGGGAACGAAGGGAGGGGAATTTAGTTTTGCTTTAAATAACAAGATTCTAGCCAGTATTCCGAGTTCCTTCAAAATGTGCAAACGATATGTACAGTAATTGCATTTTGAATCGTCAGACCTTTTAGAAGAACTCCGGTCACACATTTTATTAACCCCTACAGTGGGGCTACCCCTGCACTACAAGGATTAGCTGCTTGTTTTTTCCTAGGGCCAAAAAACAAGTCGCTCACCTGATCCTCGGAACTGGTCAGCTCTTAGGCCAGACCCTGGAGCATCCCTCCTCCTCCGCTGCAGCAGTCAAAAGGTCCAACACACTGTATTGGACATGGACACCGATGCACATACTATCGCTGCAGAGGAAAAGGAGACAGACTGGAGGCAGCATTGTCGGTTCCAAGGATCGGGTGAGTATAACTTTGACCTTAGGCAAAAAACAGCAGTTGACCCTTGTAGTGCAAGGGTAGCCCCACTGCACGAGTTAATACAATTTGTGCCCAGAGTTCTTCTTTAAGCTTCACAGGAGACAGCATAGCCCACTTAAAAATTAAAATATACAGAATCCACAACAACTTGTAATAAACCATTTAATAAGATTATAAGTATTTTGTACACACATGAATTGTGAGGTCTAGTGTGCCTTAAGGTACAGTAATCACAGAAGCTTTCAAACAAGCTCAGACACAATGCCAAATTCCCAAGTTGTTGTGACGTTGACAGAGTTATATATTGTGTTTTCCTTAAATAAATTGGTAACGAGCAGAATGCAGATCTTTAATGAAAGACAGTTTCAGCAAATGGATGGTTCGTCTACTGCTTGTGCGCCTTCAGTTACAGCTTTTACACACTTGGCCATAGTCTGTGATGCGCGGGTTATTGGATCTGTAGAAGACATTTTAATAGAAAACAAGTATAAATAAATCAAAGTTAAAAGATTTCACACAAAAAAAAAAGAAGAATTTAAACTGTAGAAGAATAAAGAAGATCACCAAGGGGGCACACTTCTTGCTTCACTATTTCTTCATTGAAGTGTACCAAGTAAATTTGCTGTTACAGGACAATGTAATAACTAGGGATGCACCGATAAATCGGCCGCCGAAACATATCGGCCGAAAATGGCACTTTTGGCATAATGCCGAAAGTGCTATTTTCCTGCCGATACATCAGCGCATCCGTGATTTCTTTCCTCCCCGCTGGGCACTGCTCTGTGTCCCAGCGGGGAGGAGAGAAAGTGACAGCCGGGAGGCGAGCGCTGTGAGCGGCCGGAGTCTCCTCCCACACCGCTCAGCCTCCTATCACAGTCCGGCAGAGGTGTGTGGGCGGAGACAGGCCACGCTGTCACAGGAGGCTGAGCTCTTCTCCTCACACCGCTCGCTCAGCCTCCTGTGACAGCTGTCAGAGAGGAGAGCAAGGTACAAACACTCAGTGATCAGTGAGTGTTTGTAGATAATTGAGCACATGGTAAGTTGACTATATCCTCAATTATGAATAGGAAGTGATCTACATCACCTCCTGTCCATTCATTGTTGTAGTTATAGTAAACTCATGTTATGATTGAACAGGAACACTCGGAGGATTCCTGTTCATTGATAACAGGGGATACAGAAAAAAAGGAGATGGAGGACTATTTCCCCAAGGCCCTAAAAGTAAAAAATAAAATATTTAATAAAAAGTTAATAATTTTTAAAAGTTTATTAAAAAAAATATTTTAAAAATGTGAAAAAAAATAAAATAAAAAACATTTTCGGTATCGGTTTCGGCCTGACAATTTCTTTTTATTTCGGTTTCGTTTCTAAATTTTCCATTTCGGTGCACCTCTAGTAATAATAGAGCTAAAAGTGTGAGCTGAAAAAAAACATGCCAACCAAATACTTTCACAAATCAAAGTGTCTGCTTATGTTAAGGTCCTCTACAGAACAGTATAAGCTTGCATTTCCCACAAGATCACCCCAAGAGGCCATTTTAAAATATTATCTCATTGTTACTAACCTGTCATATAGAAATCCTTAATGGCCGTCTGGGGAGGAACCAACGGATCAGAAAGCAACTGTTGGTTAGCAAGCTAAAATCAAAACACAATAGGAATTAATACAAAAAAAATGTTTTTAAATCTGATTCATGTATGTTGAAGGCATTACAGAAAATGTACTTATTGCTATACCTTTCCAAGCTCTGCTGATTGTTTGAAATAATTTGCTTCTTCAACATCATCATAGCGGACTAGATTTGGAGAAATTTCCTGTAATCTTGCTCTCACAGCATCTTGGTCATCATATGGGAGTGTAATACCAGCCAACTGTAAAGGAACAACCAAAGATGTACCTCAACTGAATCTAGCAAACATTGTTCAAGTTAGGGCAGGTAAGTTTTTCACTCACAGAACTAAAGATTGCTGCATCAGTTTAGCAAGAAAATCGGGCCATGTAATCAGTAGCAGAGACACAAGCCGCTGCTGCTCTGCTCTCCTCCTTCCCAAGGAGGAGAGACCACTGTGCCTCTGCATTCCCCATGCCCCTGCTGCACTTCTGTTCCTCCCCACTGCCTCTCAATTACCGGCGGTAAAAAGCCGCCGTCAAGTCTCCCATCCTGCGGCTGGGAGCAATATCCAGCCTGCTATTGGCTATTTTCAATTACATAAGCCAATACCATACTATTGCACGTGCCTGCTGTCGATCAGCAGAGAAGGACCTGAAGGATAACTTTCTTCTTCAAGTCCCTCCTCTGCTGACTGACAGCAGCCTTGTGAGCCCCCCACCCCCCATGTGGTAGCAATGAAGTAGAAAAAAAAAAAAAAAGTTAATAAAAATTAAATTGAGAA